GATTCACTTGGGCTTGCGAGTGCAGGAGAGATGCAAGTGAGTACGAAGCCTTGTGCAATGAATTGCAAATTGGTTCCCAACTGCCGCGATGACAAACGAAAATTGTCCTTTCATTTAAGAATCTCTTACCTTTCTTTAACCTTCAATTTCTTTCAACTGATTACCAGATTTATTCAAAAGCATTCCCAGAATTCACCATTCAGTCTTCGGTTTTTAAGTCTTTCCGGACCAGAATGCATGAGGTATTCATCCTCATGAAATCATCCATCTGGCTTATTTCCAGTTTCCAGTTTCCAGGACCTAGCTTTCCAATATCATTGGAAAAATTAAGGAATTAAGGGGTGCTAGGTCTAAAATCAAGCGAAAATGTCCAAGTTCACTCATGTTGATGGGTATGCACAACTAGCTGCCTGATGGGCGGAAATGTGAAAATCATCCATCCCTACAACGGATCCCTGAAATACCTGTACATGGTAGGTCTGGGCCAAGCATTTCAATGTAGTTATTTAATCAGTATAAAGATGGCGCCAGTGCATTTTCATCTCAGATTGATCCCAGCAGGATCAAATGTCAACATTTTTACAACATGAAGGGAAATTATAACAAAGGATTTCAAGGGCTTTCGAATGGTGTGTCAGGCTATAAATTGCATACAAAATTAATATGAAAGGTCATCCTGGTCAGGTAAAAGGTCAACTCTAAAAAAAATCGAAAATGAGTTAGACCATCTACAGGAAATTACAAACCGAATGATGTATTGATGGTGAAAATTGATTGCGAAACCTAGGAGGAGTTCACTAGACAATATCTGGTCACACAGACATCCGCCGGTCGTTATGTACAGTATATAGAATATTTATATGGTGGCTGACAGGCATGTTCACAATATGGAGCGTTTGAGGAAATAAATTTTCGACGGAATTTTGTAAAATGGCAAGAAACGCAAAACTGGCCACAAATAAGCGTCCGTCCACAAACGGGTGCCTCTACTCAATCCTGATTTGCTTCGAATAACATGTAGGATTTTCTGCCTTACCGTTGAGGATTGAGTTGACGCTTGTTGAGATGTAGGCATAGTAAAAACTGATGAAGCCTAATTTCTGGTTCTGCGATCTTGGGTTCGTTTTTCTGTCGTAGACAAATGTCCTTAAACTGATCAATCGAACGGAAGATGAATTGTTGAAGCTTTTATCGATTAGGCATGATATTGCGAATGGAAATCGTGGATCTGTTGCAACCTGTTGGAGAGGTGGACAATGAGCCTCATTCCAGTTGCGGCTGGTTTGAAGGCAATTCAATCAAAATGCGATTCAGCTTCAACGGAAGGGATTAAAAAATATTATCTTAAAAAAGATTCAAAATTCTAATTTAAAATAATCGGACTAAAAATCAGACTAATTTTGCCCGTGATGGATGCAAGGAAGACAGGTAGTTTGCGAAAGCCCTATGCTACCCTTCCAAGGAGGGCGTTGCGTTATGCACTGAATTCCACGGTAGGTATACCGTGGCTCAATACCGCGGTATACCGGTGGTACCGCCGAGAAGCGGGGGGGGGGGGGGGGGGGGGGGACGCCCCCCCTATGCCCAGGTTAGCATTCTATTTTGTNGGGGGGGGGGGGGGGCAACTGCCTCAGTTACGATCTCCCAGAAAAAGCCCCACGAAGAGGGGAAATCTTTCTCTTTTTATTGTGATGGCATCGAGCTGGTCTCACATCCGCATTTATGTCATTCGATTGAATGGCAAGAGTAATGGCAGGCCCCGGCTTGCCTGGGCCTGGCCTTACTCCCACATCCTCGGAAGACTTGGCGAAGATATTGAGTTCTTAGGCACACAGAGCCAAGGGCACAGTCAATGTGCAAGACGAACCCACAAATTACGAATCTTGGCCTTGGGGACAGGATTAAATACACTCCGAGATTTCCAGGAAGGCTTCGATTTTCCCCGGGTGGTGGGCGTTACTGTGGTCGGAGATGGGGAGGATAATTGACAACGCATTTTATTTTTAGAAATAGCTCTTCTGGTATGGCACCGTGGCGGCGGTATGATGAGCAGCTGTGTTCCACGGTTTTCATACCCTGGCGACAATATGAGAGGCAGTATCCATACCGTAGTAACGGTCTGAACATGGACAGTATTCCATGGTTTTCATACTGTGGCGGTAATACCGAAAAATGTAGAAGGGGTCGTTATGATTATCATGAGAACCGAATACCGCGGTATGATGAAAATACCGGTATACCGTAACGCCCTACTTCCAAGTGGTTGTCCTTGGAAGATACGCCGAGCACACGATGGTAGCAGTTCCATATCGGGATTGGAAAGAGTAGTGCTGCTCTCCGCCCTTCTGACCCATTCCATGTATGTTTCTTCAAAGTAATCAGTCACAGAATCCAGTTCCAGGGGGGAATCATCAGAAGATGTCAACTTAGTGAATCCCTCGATAACATCGTTAGATGGTAGAAGAGTTAGAGCAGGAAGCACTCTAGCCTGTTGGGCGAATTCTGCAACTTGTGCATGAAGATGCCGAAGACCTTCACCTTGAATCCGTCGCTAGATACTCTGGCCAAAGTGAAAGAAACGTCCATGGACTTCTACAGCAGGAAATTCATGACTGAATGCATATCTGACACCCAGTCAGTCATGATATGAACTGGATTGATGCCTTAAGACAAGGCTTTCAAGTGGGCCAGTATGTTTTTGCATATTAGGTAGTAAAGCATTTAAAAGAGGTATGCACTTCCCTGACACCAGTGCATGAATGGTATATACTTGGCGCGTTTCATCGAGAGCAACTTTGAATGTTCCATCAGCAAACCAATTAGACTGAGAGGCCAGCAGGCTCGGATCCGAAAGGTACGAGACTGAAGAATTCACTCGCACGACGTGACTGTGACTTCCCGAAATTCATTCAGAGCTGAGTTGAGTCAGAAACTGAAAGAAAGAGACAAAGGAAGAAAAGGAGATTTCATTCACGTTATTGGAGTTTCAAAGGTACAAGGTATTTTGTAGGTGGCTTGGACGTGCTCTGTAATTACCGTTAATCACTATTAGATCGCCAGCGTGTTCGAGGTTTAGGAGATTTGAACACTTTCTAAACTTTGAAGTGTTCGAGTTGAATGTTGTGTTTTTTCAATTCGTTACCGTGTAAACAGCATCTCAGCCCCAGCGAACTCTAATAAATTAAAGTTCCGTTGAGCACAGTTTTGGTTCTACAGTATCATGACACCTTTAAGAAATCATTTTCCTGGAACCAAGCAAACATTATATAAAACTGATTTATGGAGCTACCAGGATCTCACGGCTCTGCCAAGGCGGATAATCAATGTTATGATCAACAAAAAGCACTTCATCTTTCCTAGGAACAAAAATAATGGAAAAAGGTTTTGGGAAGCGCGAAACATTCACTCGTGCCAGCCCATTCCTGAACATTTCCAGAGCAATCGAGTGGTTCTTACACTTCGTCTTATCAAATAGTTTTGGTAGGAAGCAAGAATGGCTTGGACGGATGTTCGCAGGCAGTTTCACGGATGTCTGAGACTCGAGGCGATCAAGCATCTCCCGAATCCTATTGACTCTGTAGGCGGATGGAATGGACTCGACCCAATCCATCAGAAATGTGGAAGGAACGGATGAAATCGCCTCCTCCGTCTCCCACCCCAGCATCCGAAATTCGTAATCCCGAGAACTCGATCAGAAAGATGAGCTGACTTTTGGCTCCTCGAATGATTTCCCAATGGCATCCAGTCAGTTAGCGGGGCTGAGAGATTTGGCGGACTGGGCTGGGGGGTTCTGGTTAATATTCAAGCAAAAATTCAGATGAATTTAGAGAAGCGCCGATTTTCTTGAGGAACCGACCAGGGTAGCAATGTGCATCTGACGTCCGTCCGCATTTAATTCTCACATCAACATGCATCCTAATACATACGGTAGATATCCAGCGGATACCCTCCGAGAAGCTTCATTCCCAGTCAGAGGATCTGGGTTCGAACCCAACATGAAAACAGTATTCTCTCTGGTTTGTCTATCAGATATATAATGAATCTAAGTTATACGCACCAGGGCGGATGTATGCATTTGCAGCCTACAGCCTGTTGATGCCCGGTATAAGGCAGAGCGGACGGTAGACCGTCATTGAAGTTCCTTTTACTTCAAGGGTATCATAGTCGCTCCAGGGTGACATGAACGGTGACACGGATACTCGATACTCCCGATGCTTCTCATAGGTTCCGCAGTCTCTTTTATCCTATACTTGATCATATCCCACGTACAAGCAAGGAGAATAATTCCTAATCCCTTTAGATTCTTAATGGGACACATACACTATGTGAATACTCAAACATTTTATTATCCGACCTACTGTTGACGGATCCTATGTTTATGCAAGATAAAGAATAAATTACAGAAAGCAATTCCATTCATGAATATTCTTGTACATGGAAATTTTATGGCTTGAAAATTTCAAGAGTAAATCCAGCGATGTCTTGAAGGCGTTGCATTGGGATATCTGCTGGAGATTTCATGCACACATCCAGCGAGTCTTCGTCCACTCCCCATTGCGGATATCCAACGGACGTTCGCATTATGATACTTTGCTACGTGGGGAGAAGCGAGAGGTTGAAGATGGAGAAATCGGATCGGATTCTATTTTATTGGTTGGATTTGCAATGCGTGTTGAGAAGACCTAGCAGTTTTGTTTTATCTTGAATATTCCAAAGGGCCTGCCCGAGGTTCGTGCATCATAGATAAGTAGAGGAATGGAATAATTTATTCAATGAATGAAGAAAGCTTAATTGATTATGAGATGAAAAGATATGCAAGAAAGATATCTGGGAAAACATCTAAACCATTTGATGGATGGTTTGAATACTCCTGGTCGCCTGGCACTCAACTCTGCCTTCAACTCACCTCGGCTGACTGGCAATCAGCGCTGCCCTCCTTCGACCCGCGAAAAGCCGATTGCAAAGTTCAATCAGGCAAAAGAATTTCTGAAATTCCGGAGAAGCGGAAGACAATACGGTATCTAAAACTTCGAGCGATTTCGGCAATTTAACAATTTTAGCGTTGCAATTTGACTTTAAAAGTTCGACAGGGTCTTAGTATAGAAACCTTGAGTCGACGCAATACGGTCACCAAAGCTTATCAATGAAAATATTCAGAAATAATGCTCTTTTTTTGCATCTCGGAGAATGTGTTTCAAATAAAGCCGATGGTGGAACCGGTCGTATTTCATGTGAGCAGTCTTCATGACAGATTATCTAATGTTCTCTAGGATTAGACATGCTTCAGAATATCATGTAGATAATAATTCATCTGCCTAATCAGTAAGCCGCGGTGAAAGCAAAGTTGTCCGACAGATGTCAAATTTAAAAATTCCCATAAAGACCTTATCTCTTTGGATCCGAGCCGCGGTCTCAACCTTTCATGCCCCAGTCGAGCCGCCTGTATCCTCCTGTGGGCCCTTTCATCCGTCAAAAATACTTTTCGAGAACTCAACATTTCAACGTAGCTGGTGACGAAGCGAATTTGAGTTGCTCTTAGTTAGCGAGAGGCAGAATATATTTTTCCTTGGATGCTTGCGCTTGGGATTTGGCGCTCATTGTAAAAAATTACCACTACCGTTAACATTACAATTTACATTACCGTTAAATGACCATCAAAGGATGTGCTGAGCTATTTTTATGAAGCCACTCTCATTGAGTGCAAATGTACCATATCACACGTCTGTATTTTCATTGAATTAATCATGATTTTTAAATAAGGCTCTTGGATTGATTCCTATTAAGTTTTCTTTCGCTCGATCCTTAGGAACTATTTTGGAAGACGCCCAGTCAAGAATCTACTACGAAACGTGAATTTTCCTTTTCTCCCTTCCATCTCGAATTTTAGCATTCACATTTGTGACGTGCCGTTTTTTTCCCACGATTGGCTTCAGCAAATTTTGGAAGGAAGTGCGAGAGAGCCGTCTTGTTGCTGGTCGGAGTCATGCCTTTCATGGTCTTACATGCCTTTCATGGTCTTCCTGCGAGGGCGCGAAGACCTTCCGAGGAGTCGGATTTCAAGACATGTTGGGATCGACCTGAGTCGCCGTCGATTTCTTGAGTTAATTAGAAAACTTCTTTCTCTCTAGGTCGCAACCGAAGAGAACGAAAGTGGACCCGATCGAACTTGAGCTGCATGACCTAACATTTTAAAAATAATTTTTATCGGAAGTGCATATATTATTTTCCAGAGTGGGAGGACTTTAGAAGCTTCTGCCTGGTGTTGATGCAGCCGGCGAGAAAAATCTCTCATGCCATTCCCAACCTAGAAAACCTGGGGATGGAAATGCACCCAGCTCCTCTTCGTTAGCACTGAACAAGGTTCTATTCCATCCTACTCAGTGAACATCATGCTTTTCCTTTCTCATCCGATTCTAGATCCGAGTACGTTTCCCCGAAAAAAGGCCTGGAAAGATCTGCCTTATAAAAAAAGGAGACGGAAGGATACGGAATGATTTGGCTGTGGTAGACCTTTCGGTCACTTCATGTATTTTTCCTTGAGACCAATAGTCACTAAAGTGAGGGACTCGAATCTCAAACCTAATGCTCGAATCCATGAGTTTAGTAAAAATTATACATCACTACTTCCTTCACTATTTAAAATTTTTCCTCCGTGAGATTCCCACTTGCCAATGACCACTTGATGTTATCTTGTTTGTTGATGTTTTCATGGACTACGCACTCAAATTTTGGAAGAGTCTATTCCCCCCTTTTTTTGTCTTGAATCCTCTAGACAAGGAGTTGCCTTCTATCAGTGTAACTGCAAGCGGGGAAAGTCGGGGAATCCTGTGGCAGGAATCCAGCGAGGCCTGGCAATGCATCCACAGCCACCATCGAGACGGCTTCGACTGGTATCTCCAAACCGACGACGATGTGTGCGTTCCTCTAACTGTTTCTTCTTTGTACCCGATGAAAGATTGCTGAGAAATTACGACGCTTGCACGGAATTTGCAGGTACGTGATGATGGAGAACCTGAGGTACTTCATGGCCTCCAAGAACAAGGAAGATATTATCGCCTGTGGGCATACATTTAAGAGGAATGACACTGACACGTATTTTGCTAGAGGACCAGGTAATACATTTAGGAGAATGATTTGCATTAATTTCCCAGAGTGACCTCGTTATATCAATATCTCGATCAGCTTGGGTGCTGCTAACGTCAGTCCCTTCTAACATTAACCTCTACACGTAGTAAGAGTGAAAGCTCCTCTCTCAAAGTTAGCCAAATAAGGTTGCAACAAAGTACAGGATGGGTATGAAGTCCACTGGAGTGTTTACGGTGCCTTAGTGACCAAAGTGTATGGAGTTGGACTGTCAAATGTGCAGGCTGCACAGATAAAGACATGGGAAGGTCATTTGCATCGAGATGACGCCACTATTATCCCCACTAACCCCACGCAGAACTTTATAACCAGCCAGTATAAAAATGTAAATTTTTATTTTTGGGTTAAAGACCCAGTGACGGACCGGCCCCCAATGATGGGCCTCAGCACATAATAATTCTACCAGCTATGCCTCCATTGCACGCCTACCCCTTTTGTGACAGAGGCTACCAGTATTAAAGCACACACACTTCAGAAGTGTTCATAGAACAAATGCCTAGTTTTTTTAATTTTCCTGCGACACGGCCCACCACTGAGTACCCGCCCATAACATGCCCATCACTGGGTGTTTTACCCTACATCATTCCCACAGTTTTCAATAGTCCCTATGATGTTCCATTGACCGACAGGTTACGTGATGACTCATGTAGCCTTGATCTGGATGGTCACGCAGGCGATTCCCATGAACAACGATAGATGTCCCCCATCGGGAGGTCAAAGTGAAGACTGGATAATGGGTAGCTTGCATGCATCTGAAAATGTATCTTCACTCACAAAGTTAAGGAGTAAAGGAGGATAGCCATTTTCCGCCTAATCACATCCCATGATTGAATCGGTGCCATTCAATAAAACTTTAAGTTGTGAAAAGTGTAAATGGTCACATCGTTATTGCAAGTTACCCTGATTGGTAGAGGCGAAACTTGAGGATCAAGTCCTTCAAATGAGAGTATGAATAGATAAATCGGTCTTTTTCAAGGAAAATGTGCTTAAAGAGAACCAAAAGACAAACCCCGACTGCAAGGATGTGATGGCGAGAGTCACTTCACTATTTGAGCGTGAAATTATTCATGCTGCGATGAGAAACTGTGTTCTACGTGTTTGCAAGTGGGCGGACCTTCGGGAGGTCATTTTATCAGCATGTTACGTAATTACGCAAAACTCGGGGAGTTTTCCTATGAATCAACATGTCTCATATACCGACATCGGTTATAACTTCTTTTATCAGCTTTCAAAATGGGGGACTTTTTGTTTCCCACCCTGTACAAGGCAAAGTCTTTACAAGGATGTAACGTGCATCATCCATGAGTAGGGGTACTCATATAGTCACTTCTCGAAGAATTCCACATCTGCGTCCACACACTTGTGACACCTGTTAGGAAGTTTTTGATATCCATTACGATCGAATGAATCTTCCTGTTCGCGAAACCACATTTGGACAGCAACTGCTGATACGTATCATCCGGATAGTTCTCCTCGGTTATTGCTATTCAAGAATGCACTAAGAGGTAATAGTCACAAGCTACTAAATCCGGAACGTACTGCGGGTGTAGAAGTCGTTTTCAACCCAGGCATTGCAATCTTGATTGGTCTTCGCAAGCTGCATGCGGCCACGCGTTGTGGTGCTGCAACAAGAGGCCGCTTCAGTAGGAGAGCTTTTAATTGGTGACTATTTGCAGTGTTACTTGCGTCGAGCAGTAACTTTTCGTATTCACGGTGGTTTTCAAATGAAGGAAGTCCACCAGGAAGGCACCAATGGCGTCACAAAACAAAGTTGCTACCAATCACCTTGATGAAATGCTACCTTGATAGCGTCTACACCAAACATACACTGTCCTTTGTGACGTTCAGGCATCTTCTAACATTGTATTCATTCGTCTCTAGATGTTGGCCTGAGTTGGTGAGTCTCTTCCCTCTTTCAACAAGAACTTAACTACAAAACGCTACTCAAACACAACTTCGTCAGTAGCCGTCATGTTTTCTGATTCTGTAGTCCATTATATAAACGTCCTACGATACCTTGCATCGTAGTTTGCGATGTGTACTATCTCTTCTGGTGGAATAAACGTGTTTTTGCGAAAATATTTCAGACATGCCTTGTATAATATGCCTTCAGGACTTGTAACACCATTTTCCACTTTCAAACCATATCTGAAAAATAAGACTTCTCCAGGTGCCTTTGTTTTTCGTCTGTCACTTTCCATGATCCATAACATTCACTGTTAGTTCAGGGGGAAAATGCCGTTTGGCCTGTGATAAGAATTCTCCTATTCATCTGATTTCCATTTCTCACCATTTTACATCCTTTATTCCTCATTCTTATTCCACTGCTCATTCATTCTTCGTAATGATAATCTTCATGCCACCGATATCTTGTACTTGGATATCGTCTTCGCAAGAGAAAGGAGGCATTATCGCTGTTGTCGTTTAAATTGGTGAAGTTCATTCCATGCTCTTTTTCGGCAAGAAAAAAGCTGCATGTTGGTATTCCTGTATGTAACACTTTCTGTATAAAATGGTTCAATAAAGACCATAAGTCACTCAACCGCCGCGTGAAGGTCCACAAAGTAAGCACTCCCCCCTCTCTCTTCTTCATGCTAGCCAAAACTACTAACTGCTGGGAGATGTACCGCGGGGTACCACCTGCTTATTCTCCTTACGCGTGATGATTCAGGAGTCTCACTTAAACAAGAGGGTGACCCAAAGAAACCATACGAAACTCTGAAAACGACCTCCTCCCAGCTCTCTACCCAAAACGAGCCCGGAATGTTTTTTTTTGGGTCACCCTGTATATCTTCCCGTTGAAGGTTTTCCCTTTTAACCAACCCCTACGTTGGTGTAGTAACACAGGGTAGTCACATTAGACGAGGAGAGCTTGCATAAGCAGTCCGTCCTTACGATACCAACCAAGTATGCAGACCATAGTAATCAAAAGAGGGTGGTAAGAAGCTGAAAAAAAGCTTAACAAGGCTATCCGGATATGCAGGCATGCCCCCTCAACTCCCTTATTATAATATGACGACAACGGGTACAGTTCAAGAATAATATGAGTAAGGTACAATGTGAATGTCAAATTTAGAATTTTGACATGTAAGAAAACTGATACGTACCATTCATGCACGATCTCCTCATATGCGGACATTTTTTCAGTATTTCTGCAATTTGTTTGTTGCGTTGCTAAGGTGAGGACATGTCAAAATCTCATGCTATTATCCCTACCTATCAACTATGCTAAAGCAGAGTTTTAACCTTTCTGGCCGATTTGCAATAGTCCGTTCAGGCGACGTTTTCTTTGCCAGAGGCGCTTAACAAGTTATGTACTGGCTTGAAGGGTTAATACTAGGGCTGTCACGATTGCAGTTTTCAAAACATCGAGGATGCATCGACCTGTACTATCGATATTGTATCGATGCATGGGGGGGGGGTGCGCCAGAGGATTCAACCTTTTCTCGTTTCGATCAGGTGGAGGTTTGTCTTCCATCGTTTTCTGTCTCGATCAGAGCGCGGTCCTCTATCCGTCTTCCATAATCTCACGCTTGTGATCAGAGGTGCAGAGGGGTTGTATGACCTTCGCAAGGAGTAATGAAACCAACCCTGCCTCCAACAAAGATGACTTCTATTCATCGATGGACGCATCAGGACAACTCAAATTTCTCTTATTGCTGTTAAGAATCAGCTCCCAAGCCAGTTCTCGTAATTTTCTCCCCTGTTTTTCATCGTTCTACACGGTCTTTGGACATTAGCACCGGGAGATAGGAAACCTGTCCACGGTTCCATACCGGACGTTGCCGAAATATCAGTACAGCCCTTTTACATCAGTAAAAGACACGTCCAAGTAAAAAAAATCCACTTTGAGTTCACCTGAAATGGAGATAAAATGCCTCAGAGCATGTTAAAAATTAAGAAAGTTAAGCCTGCATACTAAAGAGAAAGACAGGAATATAAAGAGGGGATTAACCAATGTATGATATGTTTCGAGATCAAAGGAGCAAAAGAACAATCCGCTTCCGCGGCATGCATTATAAGATTCAGCAGAAGACTGATACAGAAGAGAAAAAAAAAATTCTCGGTCTTCCCTCCCTCTCCTTTCTCACTTCCTGTCTCCGATCCGACTTTTTTCCCTTTCCATCTTTCATATAGTCAGTCCCAGCATTTCTAGAATTTGATTGCGACTAGAAATAGCAAGCCCATGCGGGTCTTGCCGCTTCTTTCTTTCCCCGCCCGGACGGACTTTATAGTACTGAACTCGCCTTAATCCAATGGGACATTTCCCTTTTAAATCTTTTGCCGATACATCGCGATGGTCGAAAAAACCATCGATATCTCCAACCATCGATTGTGGTTCCAATGCATTGATCTATCGTGACAACCCTATTTATGTATGAAACTTGGAAACGTTTTCTGTTAAACTATTTTCCTCGGGTTTATTTAAATTTTCCTCGAGAGTTTAAGATTTAGCCTTTGTTATGAATCAGAACGATGATAAACTGCTCATATATCGCCAGACCGAATAAAGTCAGAGTTACCTTTTGCACCTCATGCCATATATTATATCAATACATGCCACTATCAAGCAGGAGGTTTGCCTGGATAAGGGAATCGCACAAATAGTCATAAAAGCCATCTACAGACGCTCATAATAAGCAATGGATATGTTTTACACCCCAATACACCCTTATCTTGTGAGTTCCAATGGAACCGCCACGAAATGAATTTTCGACAAAAAACTTTTGTCGGTCTCGTGAGCCAGGGCAACTCGATTCAGCCACTCGTGAGTGTATTATTTTCTTACTGTAAAAAATTTTCTTATTACTGTAATATACTCTATATGCTTTCAGCTGCTTTTAATTTTATGTAGCAAGAGGGTCAATGAGAGCGCGCATTCAGGGAAAGAAAATTATGGGCAATTCTAGTTTTCATACAATCTGTGCACCCAAGAGTTAGCAAATTTAAGGTAGAAATAACATGGATCATTTCCAATGTACGATCAGTCGGTAACGCCTTCATGGAGCAACTTTCATCAAAATTACATGCACCGGCTTTGACCTAAGATGTTTGCTTTGCGGAATCAATTATCATACTTCTGCTTTTAGCGATACACATATTGGTTTCATTCCTTCATGCAGGGAGATTTTTCGAGAAAACTTCTTCCTGAAGTCTCCTATGAAACGTCAGTATTTATTCCATCATTTCAAACTGAGTTTTACATTGGTGTTAATTTCGACTTACCCCTTCCACATTTTCTCACATAAGTGATTCATGGAAGGAAGACCAAGCGATGTGTTTTGCCATTGGTCGGCGTCTTTCTCGTCCTCCTCCTGTTTCGACCTGACTGCCTTCCGAGCATTCAAATTTCATGGCGAGTTGAAATTCATAAGCATCTTTCACAAGTTTGAAAACGGCAATGAGTTAAACATTTTTCATCCTTTTTCTTCATAGGTCGCAGTCAGAGACAGATGATGGCCTGATCGAACCTGGTCTATTCATCTGTTTTATTAGTGGTTGTAATAATTTTTTTTTAAGTGTCACGGAATTAAAATGAAGAACTTTCCAGAGTGGGAGGACTTGAGGATCTTCTGCCTGGTTTTGACGCAACCGAACCGGAAGGTAACACATGCGATTCCAATCAAGAAAACCTGGGGAAGGAAATGCAACCAGCTTCTCTTCGTCAGCACGAAAGAAGGTTTCCTAATCTATCACATTCAGTCTAAATTAGGCATTGGATATTAACTCCAATCCATCCAAGAAGTTCTTGGTGAACAAAAAAAGGGCGTGTGTGTGCAAGGAGAGGAACATTAAAGGTGACTGGATTAAACGAAAAAATCTAGCCTTCAATGACCACTTTTTAGCGTGGAGGGAATCTCATGTATGTGAACCACCTCAACTTTCAAGCCGATTTTCAGACGAAATTCTTAAAAAATGCTCGTGTGGCTTTCCACGGTTTTTTTCCGATTCATCCTTCATAGTCTCCATATGTCATTCATCTCTTTTGACCGCAGGTTTTCTAATGTCTGGTGATTTTCTTTATCAAGGTGTATTCGTTCATGCATTTTCCGTCTCTTGTCCACCAGACGAAGAATTGCCTTCAATCGGAGTGACTGCAAAAGGGGAAAGTCGGGAAATCCTGTGGCAGAAATCCCGAGAAGCTTGGCAGTACATCCACGACCACCATCGAGACGGTTTCGACTGGTATATCCGGACTGATGACGATGCGTGCGTTTCTCTAGCTGCTTCTTCTTTGCACCCGATAAAAGATGATCGGAAAAAGATGACGCTTGCATGGAACATGCAGGTACGTGGTGATGGAGAACCTGAGGTACTTCCTAGCCTCCAAAAAAAAAGAGGATCTCATCGCCTACGGATATAAATTTAAACAGGAAGGCTCTGGCGCGTATTTTGCTGGAGGACCTGGTAAGAGTCTAGCTATATAGTCTGCCTTGAACTCTGAGCAGTCTCATAGATTTCAGTCTTGCTTGGGTGACATTGACGTCAATCCAGCCCAACATTAACATCATTCATGATTAATGCCTTGTTCTTGAAGTCATCCGTTAGGAAAATCTCTAATATCTGCATTTGGCATTTCAAATTTGACATTGTCTACTTCAATTCTGCGGCTCTTTAAAGGTAGATCAGCGTTTCATCTTGGAAAGAAATATTCGCTCTTAGCTTCTCAGAAATAAATAAAAAAATTATAATTGGGAAGGTTTGTAAGAGCTATTAGATATATGTGACTGTAAAGCAGGGAGAAGGAGACATTGCATATGTTGTTTGAGTGTTGTACGCGATGATCTCCAAGTTCGTGAGTCTTTCTGCCTCTATGCGGTGACTCAGGGACAATATATTTAAGTAAGACATTTATGTCTGAGCAAGCGCAATACAATGATGGTCCTTATGGATGTTATGGAATAGAGAAACAGGAAATGAATAGGGAAAATGTCGGGAGAAAGCTTCCCATTCAATCAGACGAATGGGTAGCTGGCTTCCTCAAATGCAATGCAATAGCATGATGATGAACAAGGATCTCTTGCTTATGCTCAAGGCAGGTGAAAGGTCAGAATTTGGTTATTCGTGGAACTCTGTTCTTCCGAAAGCCGTACGAATATGCACTTGGAATATATGGAAGTTCTCCTCTGAATAGATCATGTTCATGCCCGAGAAAAGTTAGACACGTCTGCACCTGCTGAGCCACTAACTGACGCTGAAAAAATTAAAAAGTAAAAGATGAATGCACAGGTTCCTTAGTTGATGAAACAACATGATGCCATATTGACCGCAGGTTACGTGATGACTCGTCCAGCGATGATCCGGATGGTGACTCAAGCGTTACCCATGAAAAACAACAGCTGTTTCCCACCTGGTGGTCAATTTGAGGACTGGAAAATGGGTAAAATTTATGTCGTATCCTCTATCTCAAAAGTGGAGGGTATTTTCCCCATAGCTTCAAAGCTTTCAGCTTCAAATGTATCATACAACAAATACTTTATACAATAAACTGAAAAATAATATCCAAATATCAATAGATATTCATCCATTAATTATGATATTTCCCTGACAGCATTCAAATAGATGTCTTAATTAATTATTCCTTTGGAGTTTCTTGCACCTCTCACCTTCTTTCATTTGACGTGCACCTGTTAAAACGTCATCCTTGGAAAAAGCTATTATCATCCGGTTAATGCATTCACATTCACAAAATAATATCGTGCAAATTTAGCTGAGTTGAAAACAAAGACCCATCGAAGGATTTGTTGCGGGTAATGGTTCTATGAAGAAGGGAAGAGGAGCCTCAAGATGTGACACCGCCTGCGTAATTCATCTCCGACCGCTGAGGTTCATTAAATAGTTCCAGTCTTTTTTATATTTTCCTCATGGAGAGATTCTGCGATTTAATTAAATAAAGTTCGAAGAGAGAATTGAGAAATCATTTCCCCCCATTTTATCCAATTAAATTGAAATGGTGATTTCAGTCGGTGTTTTATATTGCATACGAATTTCATAAGATTAAAGTAAATTTGAGAAACGGAAGTGCCAATTCTATTTAAGTAATGAATTTCAGTTATTTCTGAGATACACTTCTTTTTTCACACGCATCGGAGATATTTAATCTATGTAATCTCCTACTGTTTTTTGGTTATGTGGTATAAAAAAAGTTTCTGTTTCTGAAGTAGTCCGATGTTTTTTTAACTTTAACAACATCGATGGACGGAGTCACAAAGTCTCATTGCGAAAACATGCCAAAGCGGTACCATTCGATATAGTAGACAATAGGTATTCCTTTCCATCCATGTTCCAAATATATTGTGGAAACAGTGCAGACTTGGAGAATTTTGAATGCAGGAAAGTTATGGTGAAAGGAAAAGAAAGTAACGAATGAAAATCCATGAAAATATTGCAGGTCAATGTTTGGCGAGCGTGGGTGTCACCCTTGGAGACGACCGAGACGCTGAGGGCCGCTTCCGCTTTTTCCCATTGAATGTAGGCGCTCATATCATGTTTGGTGCCAATCCACCGATCGGTCCCTGGTCGAATCTCACCTGGTTCGAGAAGATTACGTTCTATCCGATCAAGCTGGGATTCCAATGCTGTTCCCCAAGCGGCATTTCCACTCACTACGTCAACGGATTCCAGATGTATTTGCTCGAGTATGCCATCTATCATCTCCGGATCTACCGCATGGATTAGGCAGATCCCTCATCTGTTGACTTGAAATATCTAAATTGACCAAGGTTTTCCTATTTCATGCTAGAGTAAACATAGAGTTTCTTCAGGAAAATATTTTATTGACAAATTTGAAGGTTAAAAAGGTGTTTAAAGAACTGAGAGATTAGGAGCATCAATAAAGTTCTGTATGTTTGTGCTATTTTCGATACTGAAGTATTTCTCATCTGATACTGCAAAATCTCAAATGAACGCTCATTTAGCATTCTTATTTGTCGATCAGCCCCCAAAAATGAATTAACTGTTATCCTGTTTAGTTTGAAAGTTGTTCTCAAAGAATTGCCAGTTATGGTTTATCAAATATATTGTGCTTGCCCATTAGTCCAGTACTTAAAAAGCTACAGAACACACTTGATGCAGAGGCACCAAATTTGATGACTGGAATTACGCAATGGGATTAATAGAGTTAAAGTCTTGCTTGGTAGGCTTCATTATACCACACTCTGACCTCGCGTTTTTCCAAACAGGTGAAGCACAAGCAGGAAATTTGAAAGGGAAACCGTTCCCTCCCCCCCCCCTTCACAAATGCGAAACGCATGATTGACATTGAATTATACAGTAACACTGCGCTCCTATACTGAATGCACTCAATCTAGGAATCTGCCAGAAGCAGAGGATGAAGAGTTCACTTTTACCATAGACGGCAACGGGAGAAGCGTCGCGGTGACGATCACCAAATACTAACGATATTGAATTGATTCCCTTGGGATTATAAGTCCACGAGATTTGCAAGTGAGTACGAAGCCTAATGGAATGAATTGCAAATTGGTTCCCGACTGCTGCGACGTCACACGAAAATTTACTTTTCATTTTAAAATCTCTTACCTTGCAAGATTCATTCAAAAACTTTCCCGGAATTCACCATCGATGTTTATCTGCCTTTCCGGAATTCATCGCCACTGAAATCATTCGCGTGTAGTATCACACCAAGGTGATGAATGCACAAAAGGTCGCTTTTTGAGAACGACCTACGATCTGCAATACAGGAGAGGATAAAAACAAGAACCAGCTCTCATGAGACCTTAACACCTCTCCTCGGTGATTGCGAAATTCCATTCCACTGATATGGATGTGCTGCATGAAATATGTAAGTAGCAAACTGCCATCTCATCACAGGCGAGGAAGTAGGCGGCTGGGCCTCAGGCTTTAATGCTTCTGGACTTGAACATGGCTTAAACCTGATGCTCCTCGAGGTTGACGAGTCACCTGACCCTCCAAGCTCTCTCTAGCGAAAGTCGCTATTCCGTTTGCAAGAGCCAGCACATCCTCACATAGTGTGGCTTGGATGGGACCGTTCGGTGCTGACTGTGCATGACTCTAGCATGCTTCTTCAAAAAACCTCCTGATTTGCGTCGAGTAACGTGTGGGATTTTCTGCCTTACCGTTGAGTATTGAGTTGAAGCTCGTCGGAATAGAGAAGAAAGCCATGATGCGTAATTTCTGGCTCTGCGAAATTACATCAAATCAAATGAACCCCATATCTCTATCGGGCTATCGGGTTAATTCGATTTGGAATTTCCTATAGCCATCGACTGCTGTTTCTAGCAAACCCTCAATAAATCTATTTCCCTCTCAAAAGAATAAAATAATTAAGAAACGACTTGACCTGAAAGGCGGTCAGTTCCCAATCGATCACCAGACAGAGTACTCTAGCTTCTCAAGATAGTAAGCATTGACAGAATCATCATATCGGCTAAATGTGACCTTCGGATTGCTGTTATCGACAAGAAAAAAGCCAGAACGTTGATGCAAGAAATGCGGTCAATTAATTGGATGGAAGCCTAAAATTCCCCCAGTTGTATAAAATAATAAGAACGCATGAATGTTACCCCACACCCTCACCGACCCATCAATAAATCGTGATATCGCGACCGACTCAGGAGACAGCGCGTTCGAGTAAACACGTACAAATTTCACGAGTTCTCATAACGCGTAATGATGCTTATTTTCCAGAACCCTCCTCCCCCCTGATACCCCTTATCTCGCGAAGAGAACCGAATAAATTTTATCTGGCAGGAAACGTCGTCAGGTCCCGTGTGACGAAGCGCCTCCATTCGAAATCCAGTGAGTTCATTTTCCCCCCGAGGTTTCAATGTATCGCAAAAAAGCCAATCGGTTGTCGCTTTCCTTTTCAACCGGAGGGCATTGGCTGCTCATAAAAACGTTTTCGATGCACTGACTTTGTCTCTATAGACTTTCATTCCTTCCGTGTACTGTGGAGTTGGCTTTCCATTCCGTTTCTGGCTTATCAACACGGCAACTCTCGTCAAAGTAAATTGCTCCTTTGTTGATGTCTGTTCATCCCATTGCACATCTTAATTGCTTGTGTATGGTGTTATATTTTCATATTTTTATTTGCAACGTGTCAAATATTAACGCGTCTGATATTTCAAAAAGTTTTTCGGAATTTGTGAAGAAATATTTTTGGCGAGAAATTACTCCAGGAACCCCGTAAGACACATTAGCCATTTCGAGCAACCTCGAGCAACTTGCGTAACGAAGGAAACTCGGCAGCGTAGCGCGATGAAGCTAGCGGGATTGGTATCACAGCGACGGTAGAAAATTTGAAATGGAAAAAACTTGTGCCTCGTAGGGACCACCGCTGATATGACGTCATTTGTATACATAGCAAGTGCAGCTAGGGATGGGCATATGAAATACTGCAGTTTAGAGCAGACCTACACTTTACGAATAGTCTGTAAAGATGCTGACCTATGCTACAAATAGCACTTGCAAGAAGTTATTTCTCGAATGACTTCAACGCAGAGACGAAGGGAAAAGATTTCCACTTCATGGCTCCTTTGCTCATCCCAGCTCCACCTGACGCGGAAGTCAAAGCAGCAGCGCACCTCATCGGACATGTTTTTTTTTTAGAACTTTTTCCAAGTGATTACCCAGTCTCCATCTCAATATTAGCTAAGTCGGCATCACAATCACAGTAATAAATAAATAAATATTCCGACAAAGGCATCGAAAAGACGGTTTCCGTGAAATGCGCGGAGAAGGTGATTTCGATTCATAGCGAAAGCATGTCTCCTATTTTTCAACGTAAACATACTGTTCCGAAAAAAAAACCTCGGAATCTATATCTCCGACTAAAGCGAGTAATGGAGCTCTCCTCTCATTTTCCGGAAAATTCCTATCCATTGTCGAAAAAGGGTTTACGTTCGCGAAAATAAATGTTGTGTCTCATTTGGGTTTTCCATAATTGCCTTGATTATTAAAAAAGGCTCCTTCCATATACATGAGAGGCTAACCTGTCTGCGTGTCATTCTGTCATTCCGGGAAACTCCTCTTAGACGGATGAACGAAGATTAATAACTGAGGTGTTAATCAAAAGCCATGACCGGGAGGCGATACTTATTGGGTCAAAAATCCAAAAAGTAGGCTGCGAACGTTGTTTTTATGTGTACTCCTGTCTTTCTGTGCGTCGGAGGCCTGCACGGGTCGACTTTTCCGAGTGGAAACTCGATCGGCCCGATTCGAATCGTGGCCCACTTCCGACCCGGAACGCAGTCGTCGATCGAGCTTTGCTGCTTCGAGCTTCGAATCGTGTCGAACGGGCACGGCCATCCCGCAGTCCGCTCAGGCTTCTAAGCTGGAGAATTCCAGGTATCTGTTGACGTACAGGTATTTGCCCCAGGGGGAGACGAAGGGACCCTCGCAGATCTGCGCAGAAACGCATTTTTGGGCGGATCGATTCAGGATGAAGGACATTCTTTGTAAGCAGACTGAGTGGCGAAGCATGCCTTTAGCATGGGAAACCGTGCAAGAAAAATATCTTGGAAATCTGAAACTCATGAAAACTTCCTCATACGACGAAAAAACCTCTTTCTAAGGGATGGGTTATGTTAAATCGATGCTGGGCCATCTCTCATCCAAAGCCATCTAATATATATAGACAATCGTGAGCGACTGACTGACAGACGCTAATTCTAACCATGTTCTAGAAAGGTTAGAAATCTGAAACTTGGTACACATGTACCTTTTGGGATGCATAGTTCACTAAAAATCCGACTTTGGAGGTACATGCCCTGGGGGTACACATTTTGGGGGGGAAAACGTTTTTCTTTATTTTTTGACAGATGAGGATGGCATTCAGAGAGTCCAGTGGATGTCGTGGGTTCGGTGGGGTAGTAGTACCATATCTAACTGGCAATCAGGAGGTCCGGGTTCAATTCCCGCCCATTCCTTGGCTTTCTTTTGACTTTTTTTGCCTTCCATGTCCGGTTACTCATTCCCCCTCCATAACATTATTTTTGCTTAAGTAAAACCGAGAGACATGGAAAGCTGAAACCTGGCATGGACGTGCCTACCGAGACGATGAGTTCAGGGAAAATGCAAAATTTTAGATCCATGTCCAGGGTGCATATTTTTGTGAGCCGACGTTTTCAAGTATTTTTTTTGTCCTGGCGTATTGAGCTAGTGTGGAAAGATGGGACTTGGTACATAACTACCTATTGGGATGCTGCAGAAAGCTTCAGACTTTGGAAGTAAATGCTCTGGGGGCAAAAATTTCAAAGGGAGAGGTTTTTAACTATTAATAATTTTTTTGCATCAGTTAAACTGATGAACATAGAAAGCAGAAACTTTGCATGAATGTGACTACTGAGACAAGGAGTTAAATAAAAATGTTAAGTCTCGATACATCCCTTGGGGGAATTTTTTCGAGGTGCGATGTTTTGGAACAAAAATTGTTGCTGCGAATTGGACAAAAATGGAAAGGCGAAACTTGGCACACGTATAAGTGACATGATATTACTGAGCTTAGGGAGTATTCAGCTTTCATGGTGCATCCCCTCCGGACATAGCTTTTGGGTGGGTCGGCTATTCTGAACATGTTTTTTCACCAGCGAAAAGGGCAAACGTATAATATTGAAAAGTTGTGGGCATGTAGTTCACGGAGGATGGATTTCGGTATTTAAAAAAATGGTACGTTTCGGTTAAAACAGGTCATGGCACATGTTTTGCAATAGGCGTATTTTCACGAATTTTCTGATCCAGCAAAACGGAGAGCACATGAAAGTTAAAAAAAACTTGCAAATAAGTACCTGATGGATAGCTGCGTTAAAAAAAATCCTACTTGTATTATATATGGACGATCGTGAGTAGCTGACTGACTGACATAAGTAGCCATTCGCAAGCTGATTTCAGGAAAAGTTCTACTTTGGTGATGCATGCCAGGGGAGTTAAGTGTTAGAGGAGAACGACCGAGTTCTGCATCTTTATACTTTTATTGGTCCAAGAAGTGCGGGCCGGGATATGTAAATGGTGTCGGTGAGGCAGGGCGTCCATCTTTTCAGAGTAGTTCCTCTCCCGACGGGAAGAAGAAGCTCTGATGCTCTTCATTTCCCCTGTATCCGCTAGAGAAAAATACATAAAAATGCCTTTCTTCTTGAGAAGGAAAATCGTACGTTTTCCGAAGCATCACAATCTCATAATGAAGGGGAATACGAAGGCTACTGGGAGTCACGTACCATTCGAAATGTAAACTAAAGTTGTCAGGTGGTTTTCCAAAGGTGTCGATACGGAAAGGTCCGAAGGATCAGGAAGATCTTTCCGAGAATTATTCGAAACTGGCCTATTCGACACGAAATAGGAGAAGGATCCTTCACTTAAACTTCGGAATTCGAATGTAGGTCCCTTAGCCATAATATTTTGTTAAAAAGAAGGAGGAAATTCCGCAAATAAAATGAAGTCGCATTTCCGAGAATATGCAACAAAATTAGATCGTCCATTAGAGGGGATGCAGGTTTACATGCTCATGGAAATTTTTACGATGGAGACTGGGAAATTCCCGAAAATTTTTTGTACAGTGTACATAGCGATCAGTATGTGTCTGTTTGACCGGATTTTGTCCGGTGAACTCCTCCCAGGTTTCTCAACCGATTCTCATCAGCGAAAGCTCATTCGCTTTCTAATTTTTTTTTGAAGATGTGCAAACCCAATTTAAATTTTATTGCTGAGTTGACATTTGACCTGACATGGATGACATTTCGTATTAATTTTGGATCCAGATTGCTATGCAATACATCATTCGAAAGCCCTTAATTTTCCTCAGTTATAATTATTTTTATATTGGAAAAATGTTGACATTTGATGAAGCTTTGGTCAATCTGATTCGAGATTGTACTGGCGCCATCTCTGTACAGTCTAAATAACCGCCATGAGACTACCGAATGGTACCAGTAATCTACACTCGACTTCACACCGAAGCTCACATTTCCTTCTCAGTTGTACTGAGAAGGGTTTTGTCGTTCTCATCACTAGCGCGTCCATCATCATATCACCCATCGGCATCAGCACACACGTGATTTCAGATTTTCGCTACCATTTCCACGGGACAGATAAGAGAGAATGAAAGGGAAAATGCCATGACGACATGTGAGAACGGGCCAGGCTCTATGTGATGCTGGGCCTAGACCTATTTCAAGGATCCAATGTAGGCCTGCGTAACACGGATATTCTACGCATCTGGTACAGCAACGTTGAGTCAACATTGACATTGAAATTTTGAAATGCTTGGACATACTTGAAGTTGAGAAGTCGGCGGAAAATACGAAGAAATACGAAATCAGTGAAATGCCAGCGATCAACGGAAATTTCAGCATAAAGAGTCCACTCATGAATCAACCAAGTCGTTTGGAATCTATTAAGTGCAAATTCGTTTTTCACATCTGCCTTCATCATAGTCTCAATGTTATCTCAAAATGGAGTTATCCATCATCATCTCGACGGAAAACAGGTTTCATCAATCGACGCGAGATGGCGCCTAACTACCTATTTAGCGATTCTCACCCAGATGCCCTGAAAAAATGCAGTTCCCTGTATTTTTTAAAATACAGTTGCAGATCTGTTCCTACATACTACCTGAGGGAATGCTTTGGAATTCCTAGATGAGGTAACCCGGCAGACTGAGACTCCAGGTACTTCTGGCCAGAAGGTCCGAGATCCACAATTTGCATAACTCACTTCATGGCTCATCCTATGACTTGGACTCTGATATCTCTTTCGAAACTGACAATGTGTCTTTACCGACCTGCGAGGCCAGGCACGTAACTCCTTTGTTGTCTCGCTCAAGTACTCAACTCGGATTCTGATTCAGTGAAAGAAGTTATGGCTCCAGAAGGACATTACCGTAGAATGATAGTACTCACTGGGGCACATTCAAGGTCTCATCAATATTAGTCCGGGTTTAAGCTCAGGAAAATGATCCGGTAATGCCAAAATCGTTGGCAGTTCAATGCCGGCCCAACGTAACACATGAGAGTATTTTTCGACATTGGACTGTTTCATTTCAATACTTCAGCTGCATTAAATGCAACCCATTTTACACATCGTTGTGTCAACACTGTTACGTTGAAAAATCTCTTTTCCCTCAACGTTGCCTTGACGCTGTTGTGCCAAAAGGGTACGCTTTCCAATAATGGAATGCTGCCACATAGGATACCGTTGTGACTGAAATTGCGTGCTTTTTGTCGGACTGCGTGTGTCTTAGTTCTGGCCGTCTGGGTCAATTCCGACTTATATGTATTTCTTAACCTGAATTTATAGATTTTCTTCCTAAGGAAAAATCATTCCCACATCACGCCAAAGAAACGTGGACAAAGAAACAGCTGGAAATGCCCTTGCTCTGACGGCCGTGAAAGAGAGCGAATCGCGCGTGGGAGTCATACTGACATCGATCCCTCTCAAGTTCCAAGCATCGAGGCCGCATTTTCCCAAGCACGTAGGACAAATGAGACAGATTCCGAGTACGATCAGCGGTAATGAAGAAATCAGGCATGGGTTCGGCCTATGAGGCAATTCCCAAGTGCGTTAAACTATAATTCTTTTGCATCGAGAAATATTTTTTCCAGGAATCGTCATCCAGTGGGCATTTCGGAATTCACCGTCTAATCATCTCGTGTGTACACGGGCTTTCGACTAGTTGAGTCCATATTGTTCAGCAGCTTCTGATTGCCCCCGTGCGTTTTCTCTCGTCAGTGGCACGTGGAGGGTGGAACAGTCGAGCGGTCTGGTCGCTTCTTGGCGTCATATTCTTCGTGTTCTTCCTGATGCGACCTGACTGTCTTCCGACGATTCGAATTTCATGGCAAGATGGAATATTTCTGTTCCTTTCACTGTGTTGATGTGGTTATTGGATTTTCAAAGTCTTTTTTCTCTCCAGGTCGAAACAGAGGACACACGTCGGCCGTATCCAAGGTGGTCAATATTTCCGTTTCCATCGTGTGATGCAAATTTCTTCGATAAGGCGTGAGAGAATAAAAGACTCTTCCAGGGAGGGATAAATTAAGGATCTTCTGCTTGGTGATGACGCAGCCGTCGCGGAAGATGCACCAAGCCGTTCCCGTCAAGAACACGTGGGGAAGAAAATGCACGCAGCTCCTCTTCGCCAGCACCAAACAAGGTGTCCTATCACATTCGGTCAACCTTCAAAATGGGTGTTAGTTGCAAAAATAGGGAATCCTTTTACCTTTCCATGATCTCCTCGATCTCTGCAACTTCATATTTGAAACATATTTTAGCATGAATCTCTCCAAAAGTTGCATGAGTACCATTTGAAACGTATTTCCTTAGTGTAAAATTATATTCCAAGTTAAAGCGGTCTCGAAGAATAGAAACTTAGACTATACTTGCTCTCAGACCATGTAAATTCTCATGAGTTGCGGCATTTACTGATTTTCAATATTTTCTCCAATGATCAATTCAAGCACGCACTTTTACCTTGCATTCATTAGACGAAGAGTTGCCTTCCATCGCGTTGCCTTCAAACCAGATAAGCCAGCAGATCCCATGGCAGAATTCCCTTGAAGCCTGGCAGTACGTCCACGACCACCATCGAGACGGCTTCGACTGGTATCTCCAAATAGACGACAATGCGTGAGTTCCTCCTACTCTCCTAGCCTTTATTTGCACTCGATGCGGAAGACAGACAGTACACGGACTGTGCAGGTACGTGGTGATGGAGAACCTCAAGTACTTCCTGGCCTCCAAGAACAAGGAGGATCTTCTCGCATACGGATACAAATACAAGCGGAACCTCACAGGTCTTAATTCCGCGAGAAGATCAGGTAAGAATTAGTCTATACCTCCACCTTCAGCTCCAATGTTAATTCATGAACCTGTCAGTCTTTGAGGACGCTCGTCCAATGCAACAGCACCTTCTCTCCGTCGAATTGCCTCACCAAGTTTCTCTGTGTGCCTGCTGACGATTGCAAGCGATGCGTTGTTTGCATTTGTCTTGCACTAACATCTCCAGAGTTACAATAGTTTCCGCTGCCGCCAGCTGGTTCTCTACAGGTTGGGCACAAAGTCCCCTTTTTTATTTCGAATTATTGCATGTTGTCATGTCTGGGCTTCGAGGTGGCCATGCCATATCAGACCCTCGTCCTATCACATAGGAAGTCCCACAAAGTCCCTTAGAATGGAAAACAATATTCTCTAACAATACCCTTTTCGTTCAATTTTTGTACATTATGCTCTCGCAGTTCTAGAATTTCTTAATAAAACATTCAGTGGAAAATGGATTGGACGAGGGTCTGATATGGCATGGCCACCTCGAAGCCTAGACTTTTCAACATGCGATAATTCACTTTGGGGCATTGTGAAGGTTTCCCAACTGGGACTAACTAATGTTGAGAACCTAAAATCAGCCATCAGGGACTGCTTTTATGATATTCAGCCTTCAACGTGGAAGAAAATGTCTAAGAGAACATTGACACGGATCAAAGAATGTTCTGAGAACGGAAGGCAACATACAGATGTGCTGTAATATCCCTGCAAAGGGACTTTATGCCCAACCTGTAGAGAACCAGCTGGCGGCAGCGGAAACTATTGTAACTCTGGAGACGTTAGAAGCGCCAAAACAATGACCACAACCATTAAAAAAAACTCGTTGAACTTGGGAGAAAGCGGAGAATCACGAATAAGTCGTTTTCTTCCGCAACGGCAAGCGTTGCAATGATGATGAAGGCGCATCTTGAATGCTTTATAGGAAAACGTCATCTTCTCACGAATTCACTCATCTAGCTTTTGCTTCGTTATACGTCCTGGCCCACTGACTGACTCCGCAAGCGCCAAATCAAATGGAAACAGTGCAGACATCCAAGCAGGAAAATTAATTGCGTCTTCTCTACCTGCAGGTTACGTGATGAGTCGTCCAGCCTTGATTCGGATGGTGACGGAAGCGTTTCGCTCGGAGGACCATCCCTGGCCTCCGTATGGAAATGAAACGGATGAGTGGAAAATAGGTGAATTTATCTCACATCGCATCTTCGATATCCAAATTGTGAATTTATTTTTCGCAAAACATTCGTGCCCTTCGGGCAGGTGAAGGAATATGCCAACCTGATGTACGAGATGTGACAAAGAATAATGCGACTGAGTTCCTTGAAAAAATAACTACTTACACTTTACATTAACCAATTCTGACTCCTTCAAAGTAATCCTCTTCTGAAGCCAAACTCTAATTTTAGCGGGGCTGCCACTCTTGGAAACATCTCTGAAAATATTTGTTGCCGATCCCTTAAAACCTTTCCATTCATTTCTGGAGATGGATTCGCCATCGGTTACAGCGTTGCTGGAAAATGGAGCGGAAAGGGCTAGGAACTCAGGTCACGTGATGCTGAATATTTTCCGATTCATCAAAACGATGGTCCTTCATTGCGTCTTTTAGTTAGAAGGAAGAGAAAAAATGGAAGCGAAATCAGGTGAATAGGGAGATTTCCCAAAACGGTGACCTCTTATTTCTCCAAGAACTGCCTGAATGTAAAAATAGATTGGTTTAGCGCAGGGGTGTCAAACATACCTAGCGGAGGTGGTTCATCCGGCCCGCCGTCTATTCTTGAAATTTCTGATTGACTGATACCACAAATTTCCGTGAAAAATTATAGGTGCTGACATCTGCAGGGTATGGAATGCGGCCCTCCGACCGATTTGAGTTTGACACCCCTGGTCTAGTGCATTGTATTGTGAAGGTACAGAGCACCCGATTCCTGTCAAAAGTCTTGGGACGAACTTGGCACAAACCTTCCTCAAGTGAAGGTGGTCGGTCAATATTAAGCAAAATGACCCTCATGACATGCTACTCATGTCTGCTTACAGTCTATCGGTCAGGCGTCAACCAGCTTCAATCAAATCATGAACCGTTTCAATGTTTTTTTGGTTGGAACATTTTGGACGACCGCTTCTTTATTCATCGTTGCTGTTCTCCCTTCAATCACTCAAAAACTCTAATTCTACACATTACTTTCTTCCCATGCACCAGTTTAACCTGTCATTATTCCCCGTATGGGAGTAATATTGTGGGAATCAATTTGACCCACGATACCAATTACGCAAGGGAAAATAAGGATACCGGTCGACGGTCAAGAAGAGTCCCAAGCCACCCTTTCAGTTTTTCATATTTTAAATATGGTGTCCCCTCCGAAATGGTTGGAAACGCATATTCCTAGGACTAACATTTGCATATCGATAACTGCCAGATAATATGAATTACAATAGGAGCACCATATGCTAATGCACTCGAATCCGCAGGTCCGGAAATGCAAGGAGCAGGCATTCCCCTAACATGGTATGGTACACCTTTTGTACATGACGCATTTAACTTTCCTTTCCATGTCAAAATCCGATATCCTTCAAAGCAACACTTATGACCAACCATTAAAATTTTTTTTATATTCACAAGCAGCACAGCAACCCATTTAAATATTTTCCATCCATTTGACTTGTAAAACTTTTGCAGTGTCTTTCAATAGTCGCTCAACCAGATATATACGACATTTTTAAGGCAGCCTAAATTGAGAATCTTATTAAAACTGGCTTAATATTGAAGGAACACATCTCACTTATGAATATAAGTGCCAAAGGCAAGTGTTGCAAGTGACAACAGCGCTCCTGTAGGCAAATTGCTTTATGCTTGCGCGTGTTCGCGGAAATATTATGTAAGAACGCATGATTAATGCCTGCAATGGCGTGGGCAATATTTTTCTGCAACGGTTCCAAGTCTCTGGTATTGTTGGCGTATACACTTTCCATTAGATATCATACAGGAAGTAGGTGACGTTATGTCTGGAGACCGTGGCAGTCAGTGATTCTTGCACATCACGCACTCCTCAAATAATGTATTAAGCATCTGCATTGTTAAGCTCGCGATATGAGCGGTTTCTCCGTCTTGTTGAAAGCACAGTTCACTTTCGTCAATCTCTAACATGGGTACAAATTGCTGAATGATGTGTTCATAACGTTCGGCACTTACAATTTCTGCGGAAAGCACAGGACCAACAATACGAGATGACACACCAAACGGCAATCCGTATTTTCTTTCGACTTGGCGGAGCGAAGCCATAGTTGCAGGAAACTTGTGGTTTCTTGCGACTGGGACTTCATACAAACTAGTTCAAACAAATTGTAGGTATGCGGAGTTGCCAATTCGCAAACGAAACATATCATGTTGAGATGGGGGAGAGGCATCTTTAATTTTGATATCGAAGAGGTTGGAATCATACTGATACAGCACCTACAAAATACGTCTGCAATTGAATGACAGGCAATTTAACTGTCTAGGAATTCAACTGTCTGTTGAGACCTGTCTCATTTCAACATTTAGGAAATGCTGATTCAATGTGACAATGTTCTTCAATGTTGACTCAATATGATGGATCTTGAAACATGAATGCTCCTACAATGTTGCATCAATATTGCTGCGCAGACCAGATCTCCCTCAACATGCAACATCACTGAAATCATGCAAGCTAAGAAGTATTTAACCCTTTCAGTACCACACAGCCAATTCGTAGGATAAGAACGACGATATATATTGTTCCCCTGGCACTAAAAGTGTTAAACAAGGGGAAATGATGGAGGGCATTTGGTGAACAGCTTAGAAAGAAAAACAAATGGTTGGTTCCATGTAATTTGTAAGGTGAGCTCTTGGAGAGAGTAGGGGTGACCCTGGGCGACGACCGAGACTCGGAGGGCCGATGTCGTTTCTTCCCATTGGGAGTGGGCAGTCAGTTCATGCCCGGAGCCGATCCGCCAATTGGGCCATGGTCGAAGAGGTCTTCGTTCGAGAAGGATAGGTACTATCCCCCCAAGCCGAGATTCGAGAGCTGTTCTCCGACCGGCATCTATTTCCACTCCATCAGCTTCCTCCAGATGTACTCACTGGAGTATGTCACCGAACATCTCCGAGTGCATGGCATGGATTATGTATAACCACCATATATTGAGTGAACGTATCGCTTGTGATTAAATATATATTTTAACTTCTACTTCAGTTCAGAAAGGGACCTTTCTTGAGAATAAAGTTCCAATGCACGACGAAACTCGTTGCGAAAGGCAATAAAATCTCTTGAGTTGCATTACTTCAATGCGGAAACATTATGGCCCTGATAAAGCAATAATTGCATCTTCCACAAACATGCTTCAATTTATTCTTAGCGTATCGTATGAGGATTGAGTTCTTGTCTGTCCAAAAATAGCCTAAAGACACCTTAACTTTATTTTAATTTGCTAAATTGAAGTAGAAGAAGCACTGCGTTTTTGGAGTAGCACTTGATTGATGTGCAACCTGCAATGTCTAGAAAATAATTCCCCCAATGAGGCTAAAATGGCATGGATGTATCATGAAAAAGAATGGCAAACTGCATTCGAAAAATGAGTCCAACCCGATGGTATTTAGCAGCTAGTACTAAGGGATAGAATTTCTGATCATTCCCACTTCTATCAGAATTAGTGGCAGAGAGAAGCAACATGTATTTTTCCTACGGACTCCGTCTCACTTTCTCATTTGGAAATTGAAGTTTCGAATTTAGAATAAGTTATGGAGGTTTCATCGTTGTTTCTTTGAGAAGGAACTTGTATATTCCGAGGTGTACGTCCCACATAGCTGTAAATTCAGATTCGGGCCCTTAACCGGGGAAATGTCTCGCTATGTCTTGAATGCTCATAACGTTCGGAGGAAGAGCATTCATGTGGTTCCTCTTTGTGAACGTGGTATTTACACGAATGAGGGCAGGAATATGGGTTCGGCATACTTAATGATCTGCTCGGCATATATCACTTGTGTCTCCCAGAACACAGGCTTTTAAGAAACAAAAAAACGTAATTGAGGTATATGATAAATTAATTAACGTGTCTGGATCCATTTTCCCCCCCTTTATGCAATTTCATATATGGGATACCGTCTACAATAAGTTGCTGCATATGGTTCTTCTCCGTCCACATCCGGCGAGCGAGGTCGCATGACGGAGTTGAAATCAATGTGTTCAACCCGAAGTCTGCATGATATTCAGAGCCGGCGTTTGAGGGTGTCTCGCTCGAAAGGGGCAGAAAAGATCGAAAGAGAGGGATATTCAGGAATCCAAATGGGAGGATTGACGTGTGAGAAAATGGTAACCCACCCAGCATTTATGTTTAAATAATTTTTTTGCAGAATCTACCCTGTAAAATGTTTCCGAAGGGGAAGGGGAGAGGGGAGGGGGGTTATGGGGATCATAATCCTCCCCTCTTGGGTACGCCAAAGTGGATACTAGTTTCCTGGACTAGAATGACTGATTTTCATGTACTATATTGTGTACGAGCAAGAAAATGGTTTCTACCCCCTGCTGAAGATGAATAATTCTAGATAGCGGACAGCTTCGAAGAAGTTCTGCTTCTTTGCACGAACACTGCTGACTGAAGTTGATTCCGCTTCTTTTTTATACTTTAATCAGCGGTGTATCGTCGGGAGGGCCAGGGGAGAGGGGACACGTAGCCCCCCCTCCCCTACCACTTTTCAAGAATAGAAGCCAAAAAAAGGAAAAGACCTCAGAAATGCATGAATCTCAGAGTTTCCATGACCCTCCCCTCCTCTCCCCACACAACCACACTTTTTCATTCATGCTATGCTAATAATTTCCATCGATAAGGTCTCCGCTCCTCGAGCTCAAGCAATAAGCAAACGAAAGGCAAGGACTTCATTCAAAATCCCGCTCCCCCGCCAAAAAAAAAAGATTCATATATATTTATACGAGGTGTGGCTATTGAGTTTCCAGACATTATTTTTTCCAATTATATTTAAACTTACAAATTAATCACATTTATCGCCTTCAAAGTACTCCCCTCCAGGACTTATACACATATCCCAACGATGCTGCAATTGCTGGAAACAGCGGTGGAAGTCTTCTTTCGGGATGTCTTTCAGAGCCTTCATCACACTTGTTTGAATGTCTTCAATGCTTTGAAATCGGTGGCCTTTCAAAAAAATTTTGAGTTTGGGAAACAGTCAAAAGTCACTGGGGGCTAAATTGGGCGAATACGGCGGGTGATCCATTTCAGTGATCCGCTTGGTGGCCAAAAACTCTCGGACAGACAGGGCTGTGTGAGCCGGCGCGTTATCATGATTCAGGATCACGAGTTCTCCTTCCAAAGATCGCCCCTTTTCCTCCTCACAGCCTCACCCAAACTCTTCAAAACGCTCTTGTACAACATCTGATTGACTGTTAGTCCTTCCGGCGCGAATTCTGAGTTGACGATTCCGTTGACAAAAAAAAAACAAATCAGCATCTTGATTTTCGACTTTAACATTCGGACTTTTTCCTGTCTCCTTGAATTTGCAGTTCTCCATTCAAGGGATTGAGGTTTCGTTTCGGGATCATATTGAAAACACGATGTCTCATCTCCAGTGATGATTCTTTCCAAAATATTTCCTTCTCCGGCTTTTTCTGAGAGATCCAAACAAACATCCAATCGCCTTTGTTTTTGTTCAGCTGTAAGCAACCGAGGCACCATTTTTGCCGTCACCTGCTCAAATCATCTATGCTCAAATACATGCTCAAATCATCCTTCAAAATCCCTCCAGCAGTTCCTTTATCTAAATTCAACTCTTCGGCTATCATTCTAATTGTCAATCGTCTGTCTGAACGCACCAAATCCGTAACTTTTGAGACATTTTCAGGTGTTCGTTTGGTGATTGGCGCTTCCGTCATCCAGGTATTTTCTGCAACAGGCTCGTGAAAATCTGAAAATGCCATAGGTTCCAGATGTTCCTCATCATACACATGTGTTCCTTACTACTGTGTCCTGGTAACG